TCTGAGTAGGTCCTAGCCTACACCAAAGAAACTCTAAACCGGACGGACAGATCAATTGTTCAGTATATCCGATAGTGGGGATCAAACCACTAAGTGCCTTCTCTCCGAGAGCTGGATAAAGCTCCAACAAATGTGAGTGAAATACCTTTTCCTTTGAATATATATTATATTTTGGACATACAATATTTCACCATTGGAAGCCTCTCTTCTCTCATTTTGTCTTCACATATATGGACCACCCACCATAAGGACGGAGTGACATTTGAGGACTTATATTATATCACTGCACATCAGTGAGATTGTTTTAACTTATACTTTTCTTATATGTGGATAAACTTATTATTGTTTTTTATCTCCATTTATTTTTACCTTGTTTTGTCTATCTTTTGCTAAGCGCAGCCCTCAACTCCTTTCTCTGTATCTTTTTTCCTTAAGGGTTTTGTGAGGGATCCCCTTTCAGGGTTGCTGCTCAATTGAGTCAGCGCAGACTCTTCTTCTCTATTTTTAATGGGGATGTGCATGGGCAAATAATTTGGTTCGATTCGGAAATTTAGGTAAGAAAAAAAATTCGGCACTTCAGGAATTCGGAACTTCAGCAATTCGGAACATTTGTAGGGCACCCTAACCCTAATTCTACCCCTGTCATCATTCACTTTTCCCTCCCTCCTTCCCTCCCTCTCTTGTTTTGCCACTTCCAAAACTCGGCAATTCGGCACTTCGGCACTTCCGAAATTCGGCACTTTGAAAATTCTTCAATTCGGCACTTCTCACTTTGGACATTTGGAAATTCTGAACGAATTCACATTCGGAACGAAACATATTGCACATGTCTAATTTTTAAGCCCTCTGCATGTAAGATTGTGGCTCTAAATTTATATTAATTTTACTTTAAATTTTTTATTTTTTGAAAGTATTTATTTATCTGACTTTTATAATTATTTTTTGCTTTTTTTAGTTAAGTATGGATCCCTCTCATACGTCTGCTAAATCCTCTTCCATAGGTGAACATAACAATTAGTCTTTTATGACTTCTGTTTTCACAGCCCTCAAGACTGGTCTGGCCCTAGATCTCCAGTGGCCTACCCTGGATGTGGTGCCAGGCACTTGGAGAATTGCAAGCTTTGCAGAAAGGGTTTGGCCTAAATAGCTAGTGAGACAGAACAACGTCAACAACCTCAAGCCTCTACTGCTCTACTCATCTGCCCAGCATATTGTCTCATGGATTAAGCAAGCGGTGGCAGAGGTGTTCAAGCCTATCTCTTCTAATGAAGAGGATTCCTCCCGCTGCCCATGTCCTCTGGATTCTAAGGCTATCGATTATCTGATTTCCCTAGTTAGAAGAGTAGGGGTAGGGTTAGGGTAGAGGCAGGGTTAGAGTGGGGTTAGGGGTAGGGTTAGAAATAGGGTTAGGGTTACCCTACTCCAACCACTAACCCTAATCCTAACCATACCCCAACCCCTAACCCTACTCCAACCACTAAACCTACCCCAACCCCTACCTCAACCACTAATCCTACCCCAACCCTTAACCCTAAACCTAACCCTACCCCTAACCCTACTTCAACCACTAACCCTACCCTAACCCTACCTCTACCCCACCCCTAACCCCAACCCTTTCCTGTTTTGCCACTTTTCAGAAATCCGAAGCTCTTCGGAACTTTGGGACTTCGGCACTTCGGTTCGGAATTCCGAAATTCAACACTTTGAAACTTCGGCACTTTGGTTCAGCACTTCGGAAATTCGGCACTTCGGAAATTCGGCACTTCGGAATTTCGGAAATTCAGCACTTCAGAGATTAGGAAATATCCGAATGTCAGAATTTCCAAAATTCGTCAGAATTTCCAAAATTCGTCAGAATTTGTAGGGTTTGGGGTAGGGTTAGGTGTAGGGTTAGGGTAGGGGTAGGAGTAGGGTTAGAGGTAGGGTAAGAGTAGGGTTATGGGGTAGGGTTAGGGTTCCCCTACCCTAACCCTACCCCTAACATTACCCAAACCACTAACCCTACCCCAACCCTTAACCCTTACCCTACTCCAACCACTAACCCTACCAACCCCTAATCCTACCCCTAACCCAACCACTAACCCTACTCCAACCCTTAAACCTAACCCTACCCCTACTTCTACCCCAACCACTAACCCTACCCTAACCCTACCCCGACAACTAAACCTTAACCCTCTCCTGTTTTGCCACTTTTCAGAAATCCGAAGCACTGCGGCACTTCAGAAATTCGGTTCGACATTCCGAAATTCGGCACTTCGGAAATTTGGCAATTACGCACTTCAGACATTCGGAAGCATCCGAATGTCTGAATTTTCAAAATTTGTCCGAATTTGCATTCGGACAAAACGAATTGCACATGTCTACTTAGAACTAGCTTAGGTAGTTCAGCATATTTTGAATTATAATGTATAGATTTCTACTTCCTTGAGTGGTTGTTTCCATGTAATACAGCTTTCCAAAACATAAAGAAAGTATTTTTTTATTTGGATTTTTTAGAATTGAGATTGGTGGACTATTATAGGGTAAATGCTTTACACACCCCTGTCAGACTATTCATTTTATGAATTTCTACAGAATACTTAATATATATTATCTGTTTCATCCTTTGTTTTTGTATTTGTTCTTATATATAAACACAACTAGGCCTCTCTTTCCTCCACTGGTGAAAGCCTGAATCCTAGCAATGTGCATGGTCAGCAGTTTGGAAGATCAACGCATACAGCTTAGTTCACACAATTATGAACTGGGCTGTGTATAAACTGATAGCAGTTGCATGTAATAAGGCTGATTTTAGTTTATAAAGAGGTTTCACTAAGCAGATCCCATTTATTTTGTTGCTATCAACAAATAAGAATTCATTCTGGCAGTTCATGGAAATTGTAGTTTAATAAAATGCAATGCATATGTGATTAAAACACCTTTTTATAATACATACTCCACCAGCTAGCTATTATTACATGACTTCAGGAACAGTATATGAAAGGCATATCAACATTTGAAATGAGACCTGAATTGGACCTCAATTTAATGAGAGGCTGTGTTTAGTCATCTTAGCAAATGTCATAAATTTGATTGTTAAATATAGAAATTAATTTCATATGATAACTATGATCCACTCAATCAACATACGCTTTCTATTGGCTTGGATCAAAAAAGAAATTACTACAATTGTAACTTTTGCTTGCAGCCCACAGCATGTGAGGGATTATTTAACATTATAAATACATTTCAAGTGTTTTGTTTTGCTTGAATATCAGCAAGCAATGAAAATGGTGGTGGTGGGGGGGGGGAATGATAGTAAGCAACATAAAAGAATAGTCACAATAAAATGTGAAACACAATGCAGTGTTGCATCATAGTTGGCACAATAATTGCTGGCACAGCATGAGTAGAGTCAAATATGTAAAAAGCAGAATAACCGGCTGAATGGCTATAACCACACTAAACAATATTCTTCGCAGATGTTCTCATTTATAACATTGTTGCATAAAAGCATCATGAATAAACACTAAGCACAGATGAAAGTTATATATTTCTATTTTTCCCATCATTTTAAGTACTTCTTATAAAAGACAAGGTTGCTGAATGGTTGCAAATATGCTATATTTCTTGTAATGTTTGTATAACAGCAGAGAAAATGTATTTCTATAATAGTGAACATTACCTGTTACTAATGTGCGATCAGCAATTATTCTTTTTAATGTAAACAAGTTTTTGTATGGAGTATGTGTGCGTGCATGTAGGGGTGTGTGTGTGTGTGTGTGTGTGTGTGTATATATATATATATATATATATAGTTTTGGCATTTGAATGCAGTTGTGTTCTTCTGCTGTTAATAGAAAACAGAACGTTTCCCCTTCTGGTAATAGGGGAACCTCAGATATCATTAGATACCTGTGGCTCTGCTCTGTCAGCTGGGGCAATATGTTGTGGCCCCAGGCTGACCGATAAACTGCTGCGTTTAAAGACAGCACTGCAGTGCATACAGCCCTTAAATTAATTGAAATCACCATGGCTTAGCTATAACGTTCACATGCAGTAATTCTAAGAGTTGCAAGCGTTCTACGGCCCCTTGCGATTTTGATTGCTGATTGGTATATCGAAGAAGGACATCAAATTATTGATGTTGTATAATGCTTAACCCCCTAAATGCTGATTACCAAATAAACTATTAATACTCTTATATATGTATTATTTTATCACTGCAAACACATCACACTGCACTGCAAACATTATGCTCTATCTTTAGATATATCTATGTAAATTGTATCTATGAATTTTAATCTGCAGTTTATTATTCTAGTTTGTTTATGACTTAAGCCTTGGTTTTATGTGGCACTGTAGTCAAATGTTTTGGCAGATGGGCACAAGATAAAATAATAAAAACAAGTTTATCTGAGGTTATATGAGTGTATATTCCTCGGCTAGATGTGACTCAGCATGAGTCAACATATTTAATATTTAAACTTGAAAACTTATTTATGTTCTTGAAGTGCTATCAATTTAAATATGGATTCTTATTATACAAAAAGGATGTATCAGGTTGAAATTGTCTAGCAATTTGACCCATTTATTATATAAGAATATTACAACCACACAAGAATAGTAAAATCACACAAATCAAATGGTTGGTAACATCCTGATCTTATTGAATGCCCTTAGGTTTAAATAATTAAATAAACATAATTAAGAAATAAAGGCTCATCTCACCACCATAAAAGTCATACAAAGGGGGTATTGTTACTTGGAAGATAGAGTTTACAAAATAAACTCTGAATTGCAATGTGCATATTGTAGCAGACTCTATTCACTTGTGTTCGGTTTCTGGTCCCCCCTTGTTCATGTTTGGTGAGTGGTCCCCTTCGTTATGCCCCAGCAAACACCGACCTCCCTTGGCTGTTAACCACAAATTAATAACTTGACACCTTTGCTTGAGTGCTTTCACTGGGTGGCCATTTTGTCTGCTGAACACAGGCAGCGGAACCTGGTCGTCATACGCCTGGAACTATTTTGACCTTGTGGCTCTGCGAACATGGGCAAAGATGGTACCGCTGCTCGTCCCACTTCCCGACCAAACGAATAGGGGGAGCATTTGCTTCATAGCAGCCAGGGGGAGCGTTGGTCTATGTTTGCACAGGAACCCTGAAAAGCCGGCTTTCCCCTGCCTTTGGAACTGTTTTGGGTCTATCACGTCATGGCCAGTCGGTCAAAACTTTAAACGAAAAGAACTTTCATTCTACCAAAACGATCTGATCACTTTTTGTGTATGTTGTGCGCTCAGATCAGGGCTATTCAGGAATATCATTTTTGTGGGATTTCTGTATTCTTTTCGTGTATTTTTGGGGTACCAGTATTTTAAAAATGTATGTAAGTTTCTATATTTGAGAGATAATTGAGTTATCCTAATTTTAAGCTCAATTATCTCTCAAACACAAAGGCTCTTGGTAAGAAACCCCTGTGTTCTTGATTTTAAACCCCATGCTAGGCGCCAGTGCATAAAAGTCATGTGTGGCAGAATAAACTTCACTTGTACTCCCAGAACGGTGTGTCGTCCAGTTACTGGGGAGGAGGTGGACTATTTACTTGGCAATTTCATGTTCCTGATTTCTACTCTTGGTGATCCAGCGGAGGAAAGTCCTGGGCAGGACATGGGCTCCGCTACACATATATTAGAAAAACAAAAAAAAACACTAAAATAAAAAATACCTCAACTTTGAAACTTGATATGGTAAGAAATGGGTATACAATGAGGCTCAATATATACTATATACCATACCTTGTGATGTCTACATCTGCAAATGTTGTGTATTTATGGGGAAATTTAAACTGTCAAACTTCTACATGCCCCAAAATATGTGTATGTGTGCTAGGCAGATAGTAATTTCAGTCAAAAAGCTTTTGCCTAGGCAAATAGTTATTTGGTCTTTAAAGCACCATTTGCCTTAAGCAAAAGCCTTTTGCCTAACTGGTATTCAAGTAAAACCATTTGCACTTACCAGGGGTGCAAGAGCATCTTTTGGCTAGCAGGGTTGACTTTCGCAATGTACTCGGGTGTGTTTTGGTGAGCAGGATCCACTTTTCCCGTGACTTTGAAATCCACTATGAATTCCTGACAATTCTCATTTTTTGTAAATAACCTGGTATGTATGTATGTGACTGTGTATGTTGTTATGTGCTTTTGTATGTGACAGTGTGTATCTGTGTATGTATGTGAGTGTGCACATGTCTATGTATGCATGCAATTTGATCTGTGGAATTATATGTAAGTGTATTAATTTGTGTATGGGGTGCATACATCACTGTACATACAGCAAACTGAAATAAGGAAAACTATTTTACATAGAAGTTTTGCATTAAAAAATAATTTCTACAAATGAGATTATAGAGAGAATTGTTTTTAAGAGGGCGTCACCAAGTATAGTGCCGCTGCTGCACAGAGGAGAAGCAGCAAGGAATACCTGCCTCCCACTAGACACTAGGGAACCTGGCCTCCTTTCCTCCTCCCAGTGTTTATGACCGCAAGGATTGTGTGTCCTTACACTGAGAGTGTGTATGTGTGTGTGTGTGTGTGTGACTGATAGTGTGTCCATATGAATGTGTGAATGTTTATGTATTGTATTGTGTGTGACAGTCTAGGTATGCATGAGGCAATGTGTGTGTAATTGTGTGATTATGTATGTTGTGATTTAAAACGCTCAGTGCTTGACTTCCTTGTTTTGTGTACCACTATGGGTCTGTCAGTGAGTGTTTCAAATCAGTGAGATTGTGTATCTGTCATTGAGAGTGTGTGTCCATGTTTCTGTCTGAGAGAAAAGGTCATCCGTTGAGACTGAAAGAAAGGTGTCTTACAGCAGAGGAATGGGTTCTTGTTGTCTAAGCAGATTGTACATATATATATATATATATATATATATATATAGAGAGAGAGAGAGAGAGAGAGAGAGAGAGAGAGAGAGAGAGATATATGAAGAAATGCACTCTCAGGACTTTTTAAAAATAATTCAATGAGAATTTATTCCAAATAAAGGTACTACATCAAATACGATCGTCGTTTCGACCCGTTTGAGTCTTTCTCATATCTATATACCTCACAACGTGGGATTGCACCTAGGCAAGAGCACTGTTATCATATTGGAGAAAGGGTGAGTGCCATACTATCTATCTCTATATATATATATATATATATATATATATATATATATATATATATAAATAAAGGACCTGGATGCTTTTTGTTATTGCAAAAACAGAATATATAATGATAATTAATATGTATGTGAACAGGTTGGTGATCCAAGGAGAAATCTGATTGCCATCATGGAGTCAAAAAGGATTTATTTCCTTTTATAATTGTGAATGGTGTGTCTACATGTGTTTCTGTGTATTAGCTGTGGATGAAGTGTGTATCTATGTGTGTGCTGGGGATGAAGTGTGCGTCCGTGTGTGTGCTAAAGATGCAGTTTGCTTCTGTAGCACACATATCCAGATATAGAGAGAGATTCTGAGACTCCGTCCTGGGATAAAGCACATAGCAAAAGCCGCAAATTAATAGGTAAATTAAACCACTGAAGTCCTGGCACTCACAGCAAGTGATGTCAGAGCACCAGAACTTCAGTGGAAACCGGCATCATCCTGAGTCCCGGTCAGTCTACACCCACCAGACCACCAGGGATCAGGATTCCCCACACCCTGGCCCAAGGTAAGCCTCTGGCCACCTCAGGGCGCCCCCAACCTGTATTAGGCAAGGCAGAGCAGGCACCTGCTTACCTTGATGACAGGTGCCTGCTCTCCCAAAAAATGCCGGTGCCTGGAGGAGAGGTGGACGGAGCAGGAAGGCGGTGAGGGAGGCTGTTCTTGCTCACTCCTCCCTTGTGCGCCCTCTGTAATGCCGTAAGCCGGAATATGACGTCATTCCGGTCCCGACATACTAAATGATGCGCTGGAGGAGTGAAGAGCTGCCCTCCACTGGACCCCAGGGAGGTGAATGTTTGACTGTGTGTGTGTTTGTCAGTGAGTGAGTATGTATGTCAGTGAGTATCTGTGTGTGTTTGTGTGTGTTTGTTTGTGTGTCTGTTTGTGTGTCTGTCAGTAAGTGTCTGTGTGTGTGGCTCTCAGTGAATGAGTGTATGTATGTCGGTGAGTGTCTGTGTGTGCCTGTGTTTGTGTGTGTGTCTGTCTATCCATGAGTGAGTGTATGTCTGTCAGTGAGTGTGTGTGTCTGTCAGTGAGTGAGTGCATGTTTGTCAGTAAGTGTGTGTGTGTCTGTCAGTGAGTGTGTGTCTGCCAGTGTTTTTCTGTCAGTGAGTTAGTGACAAGGTTAGTGACAAGAGGGAGCGGCAAAATAGATCTATGCCTAGGGCTGTAGAAATCCTTGCACCGGCCCTGCTTCCCACATGTATTTCCTACACGACACACACAACTAACTGCGGCCAAACCATATCACTTACACAGGTAGACATACTGCTCACAGATACACACACACACAGCCATACACATCACTCACAGCTATACATACATTACACACAGCCAGCATTATGCATCACACACAGAAAGCCACAACACACACTTTACATATAGCTACAACACTTACACCCACCCTACACTAAACACACAATGACACCATACATCCATTCAACATTTCAATACATATTCCCATTACAGAACATTAAAAAAATAACATAGGGGAAAAATTTCCCAGTGCACATCCTAATGAAATAGTCTGCACACAGACAACAATGGGACCTGTGAAAAATTGGGTACATTGGAGTTGTGGCAGTCTTATGCAATGTATGACCATACTCTGTAACTAATTTCCCTAAACTAGTGTTTAGTTAGTACCCTTGTGTGATGACCGGGTAACCTCCTTCAATCGCTATTTCCTAGTAATCCTTGAGTACTATAAGCACCGCACCGGACACCATAACCACCGTAAACCCCAAAAACCGCCGCAGCTTGGTTGGGGTCTTGCTGTCCTCCTCTTCCCACCCTGGCACACACAGCAAGTGATGTCAGGCCAAAGATAAGCCTCTGGCCACCTCAGGGCGCCCCTAACCTGTATTAGGCAAGGTAGAGCAGACACCTGCTTACCTTGATGACAGGTGCCTGCTCTGCCAAAAAATGCCGGTGCCTGGAGGAGAGGGGGACGGAGCAGGAAGGTGGCAAGGGAGGCTGTTCTTGCAGCCTCTCACTCCTCCCTTGCACGCCCTCTCTAATGCCGGAAGCCGGAATATGGAGGTGAATGTTTGACTGTGTGTGTGTTTGTCAGTGAGTGAGTATGTATGTCAGTGAGTATCTGTGTGTGTGTGTGTGTCAGTGAGTGTATGTTTGTTTGTGTGCCAAGACCAGGCCTCTCCTAGTCCAGTGGAGCAAAGCAGAGAGCAAAGCAGCCTGCTCTTGCAAGAGCAATCGTTGTGATCCCCAGAGTAAATATAGCTCTCAATCCCTCAATTGGCTCTCAGGTCCAGGACACTCCCATACAAAATAGGTCAATCCTTAACCTGTGCCTGGGAGATAATTGAGTCAGCACTGTATTAAACTCAATTCTCTCCAGGCACAGAAAACATACATTTTTACAAAACTCCAAAAATACCTTTAAACACACAAAGTCCCCACAAAGTTACATCCCCTGATAGCCCCAATTTGGCTGACCAACATATCCAAAAATCACCCAGATCGGTTCAGGGGTTCAGGATGTCCTGGAAGTCTTAATTTGACCGACCGCACCCCTGGTCCCATGCCCAAAACAGTTCCACAAGATCAGGGCTAGCAGTCGGTCTAGTTCAGTAGTTTAAAAACGAAAACAAACATAGTCAATAGTCTTACCTTGGAGCTTGTTCCCCTTGTTCGTGGGAATGTTTTCACCGAACAGTATCTTCCTAAGTGCTATAAAACCAAACACAGGCGATCATGGAAGTCCAGCTGTGTTCGGGAGTTTCAGTGTCCGAAAATAGTTCCATGAAATCAAAGACCAAACACCACTGCCTGTTTTCATGCGAACAAGATGGCCACCACCTCATGGTTGTCCATAGGAAATGCGGCCACCCAGACGAACAATTAGTACACTGTGGTGGAAATTGCTACTAAGTAACAATTAGGCTTAACAAGCTCCAGGGTGGTCTCCGGTTCGTGCAGCTGTTCGGTTCCCGAACCAAATATAAAATCCCACGAACCAAGTCTGTTCACATAGTTTTTTTAATGGGCCCATAGTCTTTTGGTAAGAGACTGGCCAGCAGGACCCTCCAAGCACCCGTGACGAGGTTCAGTTTGTCACACCTGTATCTTGCATAATGCATAATGCATTACTTGGCCCGAGCAGCTCCCTAATGTATGCATGTTTAGGTAAGTGCAGCTCCGTATGTAAAAATATTTAGGAGTCTAGGCCAACTCCTTTGGCTTTGCACTCCTCCCTGTCACAGGTGCCACATTCCAATGCCCTATATAATCTTGCACTGCAGACATTAGGATAGTTTTCACAAAAAAATTGATTAATCTCATAAGAGTAGGCATCAGATTGCTAGAATATGACCTGCCAAAAATGGGGTGCATTGGCATTGTGGCAAGCTTATGCAATGTATGATTATATACTGTAACTAAACCCCATGAGTTTTTTATTTTAAGAACTGTATTCTTTTAGTGGGAACTAGTTCAGACTTTTCCCTGTTGATTAGCTAACCATGGTCTACTACACCCTTCCCTCCGTAGCAATATGCAGAATGAGTTTTGATTTGAAAGAGGCTACTAATAGCCAGTTGTCTAAATATGGAACAATGTTAAGACATTTTCTTCTTAACTCTGCTTCAATCGCCATTATCTTTATAAATACTATTGGAGCAGATGAGAGTCTGAATGTCCTTGATGGCTCAAATGAGTTGTTGACATAATAGTTTCCATACAAAATCTTTTCTTGATTATTGGCTTGTCTAGTTTTTAAACCAAAAAGATTTTTGAATAGGTTCTGCAAAATCTTTCTTCATTGGGAAGTCTTTCTACAACACTCTTTGTTAACATTAACGCTACTTCTTTATTTAATGCTTCTGCTGTTAAAGAAGAATGGACCATGGAGCAAAAAATATTTGTTTGAGGAGTGCTTGACAATTGCAGATGATTGTCTTTTTTGACTATAGACAGTACCCATGTGTCTGATGTAATTTGCCTTCACTGTGAAAGAAAATGCAGTATTCTTCCACCTACAAGTCTGGCATCATAAATTCCTGTTTTTCTTGTTAGAATATGTGTCTTTGCATCTATAGTCGAATGATATCCTTTGTTGACATCCTGCAAAAGGAACCTTGATAAGATGGTCTGTCTATGAAGACTGTTTTATTCCACTGTGGCTTTTTGCGATATTCAGGTAGAGCCTTCTTACTCTCAGTCATTTACTTTAGTAAATCATCTAATCTGGACCCGAAAAAGTATACCCTGTTCAAAGGGTAAATCATAGAGAGAGTTCTTTGATGCCTAGTCTGCAGACCAATTTCTTAGCCAAACTGCCCTTCTTGCCTCTGTACATAAAGCCACGGTTTTAGCTAATCATTTCAGGGCTTCCAGTGAAGAATCTGTTGGGAAGTCAGATGCCATTTTGATGTTCTGTAGAAGGCGGACTGTGTCTTCTTTGGACTCTCCTGAATGTACTTTTTCCAATGATTCCAGCCAGAATCTCTGAGCCTTAGCTACTGCGATGAGAGCTTTGCTTGGAGCTGCAGAAGCAAAAAAACAGTTTCCTTACCGAGGACACCGTACGTTTATCCATGGATTCTTTCAGGCCACTGGAATCACCTATAGGAAGGGCAGTTGTCTTTCCCAGCTGAGCTATTGGAACATCTACCTTTGGTACATCATCCAATTTACAATCTGTCTCTTGTAATAGAAAATAATGCTTTGAAGTCCTTAGAGATAAACGCCTTTTTAGCAGGGTATTTCAATTCCCTCAGCATAAGGCCCTTTAACTGAGGATTAAAATAAAATTATTTAGGTTTTTTTTCCTTTCCCTTTAAATGGTTCTTCATTTTCCATTAGGGCCTGCACATCTGGAGAAAAAAAAATATTAATCTCTTCATAAGAGGATTTCTCAGAGAAAGAATCTGAACTGGAGTCGGAGAATTCTTTTAACTTACATTTTATTTTTTCATTGGAGACCCAGTAGGAGGTTCAGAAAAAAGAGATGACTGTGCACACTGAACTGCTGCTGATCCCATATTCCAGAATGCCTGCTGAAAATTTTGCTGGAACAAATTTAAAAAGGCGGACAATTCTGACTGCTTTGCTTCTTATTATTTAGCACTTACTTTCTTTTTATATCTGTCCGGCATTGGTTGAGCACAGGAGGCACATATATAAGATCTTATCCCCAAATGATCCCTAATGTCCCCACACTCAGACCTTAGTAGTACATTCCACTGCACACCAATCTACTTAGAAAAGGTACATTTATTATCAAAATATAGAAAAAAATATAAAACATGGAAATACAAGCAAAAAAATGCATAGAACAGTACTCATATGCACCAGTCCAATATCACATAGTATCAGAAGGTTGATAACAACATGCTCTGTGATCCTATCCTGTCATAATATGTCAAAAGTATAAAAGAAGCTAGCAAAAAATTATAAAAGAATGGCACCTGTAAGAAGGGGGAAGAACCACATAGACGTGACCCAAGGAAGAACCGAAATGCCCTCGCGTTTCATGCCTGGTACGATGCTTTGTCAACACAGCAAAATGTGCAATCAGTATACAGAATAAACAACCAAAATAAATTTCAAACATATAGACCAATCAAACACATTGGGATTTAGCTGCCGGTGTCTCTGACTCAATTTCCACATTGTAGGTCTCGAAAGAATGCTCCTGTTTTATATTTATCCTATTTTTCCCTTACTGATTATTTCTTTCCTGGTTAGGTAGTCATTGTTTATTTCACACCATCAATTGTATTTCAGTTGAAATTCTAATTGTATTTACTATATTGTTTTTTATATTTTGGAGGTAGAGGGCAGAATATTTGATAATATATCGCACACCAATAGTGATAAAAATAATAAACTGTAGACTTTGTGAACTAAGAACCCAGCCCTTGTATGCACAGGGTCCTATTATTATACATGTAATTAGATATTGGGTTTTCCTTCAACACCCTTTAGAGAAATGAGTCTGCTTCACTGTATAATATTTGATTATATATTTTATTACATTGCTCAATATCACATATTTGATCACCCACTAGATAAGGTAATTGATAGATTAAGAATGAATTAATTAGGAGCAGGTGTTCTAACTATTCATCCACATGTTGAATCACATTCAAGGGAAAATTAGATCTACATTAGATTAGAATCTTTTATTATTGGCAAATCTTCTGTGAAACACACACTTAACCCCTTTACTACCAAGCACTTTTATGTTTGAAAAAATATTAACATAACATTTTTGTTTTCACAATGGATGCATAGCTACCACAAAAATATAATAATACAGCAAGCCTGTGTACAGATTGCTTTTCAGACAATCTTGTTAATTAAAATTACATACATTTACTAAAATGTTATTTTTCATTTATTCATCACTTACAGAAATGGTTGGGATATGAAAAGATTGCGACAATATGCTGAGTTATAGCTGCATTACTAGGAGGATGCGGGTCACCACAGGGTGACACCACCAAAAGTGGTAACACATTTAATGGGCCACTTCTGTCTGGGACTGGTGCACTAGGTGAGAGGCTCCTTAGCAGGCCTGGACTTGTTTTCAGGCAAACCAGACACACACACATACAAGACATACATACAAAGACACATACGCACATACATACACACACACACACACACACAAGACACACATACATAGACACACACACACAAGACACACACACATAGACACACACACAAGACATACATACAAAGACAAAGACATTGAGCACTTCCTGTCAGACCGGGTAAAGGGAAACGGAAGCCTCTCTACCCCGGTCCGCTTGGCCACGCTACTTGTTGTGACCGTCAGGGACGGGGAGCACTGTTCTGTGCTCTACCCTCCTCCAGGTGACCCAGCAAAGTAATGGTGGCCCGTGGTTGCAGGGGTTTCTGCTGCGGGCATGCCCCCTGGAGTGACGGGCCTAGTCGCAGCAGTGACCCCTTTGACCATGGTAGTTATGCCACTGCAGACAAACACTACAACCCCAATACACACTAGACCCCATATACATATGAACAAGCATACACACTCTCTCTCCAGGCCCTACATACACATACTTTGCAGCTTGTGGACACACATATACACTACAGTCCCTAGCCACACATATTACACCATACAGACCCCTTTATATACACACTAAACCACAAAAAGCTGCCTCTACAGACACCGAGTCTGGAGGGCCATCCTTTGTCTACCCCAATGAGGCCTCCTCAGGCGGTGAGTGGTGTGGGCAGCCGCCACCTTGCTATCCTGCCCGACAAGTTAGACTTCCAATGCTATGTAAATCTGGCCCTGTCCCCCCCCCCTCTGGGCCGGTGGGGGGGATCCCAGTCCACACCCATTGGCCCCCACCACTACTGCAACTCTGCAGCCCCTTAGTACCATAACACTGCGTAATCGACACAGAGTCTTCTACAAAATGGAAGAAGCCATGACTCAAGTAACCTGTTTCAAACGTGGCTTAAGCATTCCTTTGAATCCCTCAGGATAAAGCTGGCGGATCAGCTGCAACCCGTGGCCCCTTTCCTGGCCACCCACACTCCTCACGGCCTCACACTGGAGATAGAGCAGAGGGATCAAAATCTACCACGCACAGCTAAAAGATGGTGAGAACGCTGGCATCAGGTCGGGATGGAGGTGATCGGGAACGACCCTCCAATGGGCCAGCTCACCCTCAGCCTAGAAAAAGAAACAGAGGGTCGAATGAAGCAGTAATTCTATGCACAACAAAAATATAGAATATATTAAAAAAATACAGAGTACATTTTCCCCATACAAGAACACTTCAGTAGGGCTCTGCCCTGGAGGAACTGCCCTGGAAGAACATCAAACTAACATGCTCTATTTGTGGTATTTGAGGTGGAATCATTGTTGATGACATGACATGTCCCTGTCCCCATCCCTGCCCCTTGTATTGGGCTGCTTTGCCTAGAAACGCCCGCACCAAATTGTTTTCCAAGATTTACAAAAAAGGGCTAAGGCACTTTCAATATCCAAAAAAGTGCTATATGTGACAGTGCATACAGTGCATACAATATTTGTACAGCTGCAACTATATCAAATTACCAATAAAGTGCACACAAGACATATCACCATAAAATAGTGTTGCATCTGGCACCAAGCTATTAGCAGTTGATCTTTTAAGTCCTGCAAGTTGCAAGGTGGGGCTTCCAGGGATCCAATTTGTTATTTCAGCACTTTCCACAAATGCTCAATTGGATTGAGATCTGGAGAATTTGGAGGACAAGGCAACACCTCTAACTCTGTCTTGTTCCTCAAACCATTCCTGAGCAATTAATGCAGTGTGGTGAGTTACATTATCTTGCTAAACCTGCCATCACTGAACACTATTGTCATAGTCTGCAACAATTTCCAGGTAGGTGGGACGTGTCAAAGTAAAATCTAGATTATTGCCAGGACCCAAGGACTCCCAGAACATTTCCTCCACCTGCCTGCCTTCTTCCTATAATGCATCCTGCTACCATCTCTTCCCCAGGTAAATGATGTATTTGCACACGGCCATTTACCTGATCTAAAAGAAAACGTATTTCAGCATACCAGGCAACCTTCTTCCATTGCTCCATGGTCTGGTTCTGCCACTCACGTCCCCATCAAAGGTTGTTTTAGCAGTGGACATGGGCTATAATAGGCACTCTGACCTGTTTGTGGCTACGCAGTTCCATACTCCGCAAACTGTTCCGCACTGTGTGTTCTGGTACCTTTCTATCATTAAGTTTTTTAGCAATTTGAGTTTCATTGATTGGCTCAGATAGTCTAGCCCAGGCATAGGCAACCTTCGGCACTCCAGATGTTTTGGACTACACCTTCTATGATGCTTTGCCAGCATTATGGGTGTATGAGCATTACGGGGGATGTAATCCACAACATCTGGAGTGGCGACGGTTGCGTATCCCTGGCCTAGCCTTTGCTTCCCACGTACATTTATGAGCCTTTTTATATGCCGGTTCACCGGTTATCCTTTCTTGCACCACTTTTGGTAGGTACTAACCACTGCATACCAGGAACACCCCACAATACTTGCCATCTAGCCATCACTATTTGGCCCTTGTCAAAGTCACTCAGATCTTTTTGCTTGCTCATTTTGCCTGCTTCCAACACATGAAATTCAAGAACTGGCTGATTACTTGTTGACTAATATATCCAACCCATTGACAGGTACCATTGTAATGATAGAATCAATTTTTCACTTCACCTGTCAGTGGTTGTGAAGCCTGGCTGATCAGTGTAAATATAAGTGCAATTTATTTCAATACTTATGTATCCAATAAGAAAATCAGTTTTTTAAAACGATTTGTGAAAATCTGTAAAGATAAATAACACTTGATAGTGCAGAATATTGAATCTGATAGGCATATTGATGCCGTGCATTCATCCTGTGTCACTTTTGACACATTATGTTTCTCCTATATTGATATTGACAAGTGACCTTTCTCACGTGTCCATAGTTCATTCAGGCATTGACAGTGACATGGAATGCACTTGTTTATTATTGCCATTATGGAATGCTTTCCAATTAACACCAGGGCCGGACTGGGAATTCCAAAGCAGCCCTGGAAAAAAAATCTATGCCAGCCCCATAAGTCATTGCGCCATATATTGTCGCATGTAATATGTAAGGCTATGTCTTGCCACCCTAGATGATTGATATATATATATATATATATATATGTATATATATATATATTTTTCCAATATAAAATATTGGTCCTTTCAGAGTAAAATCTTTAATTATACAGTAAGCATACTCACATGCAGACACAGACAATCTCACTGACACAAGCTGATTGATACACAGCCTCATAGACAAACAATCTCACTGATATACATAAGGTCATTAAAATAAAAACACAAGCTCACTCAGTAGCAGGCACACACACACACACACACACACAGCAAGCCCACTCACTAGCAGGCGCGCACACACACACACAGCTTAATGTAGTGGCTCTGGTGTCTACAGCCTGTCCCTGCAGGCTTTTCAATGTAAACACTGACTTTTTAGAGAAAAGGCAGTGTTTATATTGCTTCCTAGTGACAGACACTCAGACAGTCACTAGAGGTGCTTCCTGTGTCAGTGCGGATTGGCTGAGATCATCAAGCTTGATGATCTCAGCCGTAGAGGCAGGGCCAGTTGAGGGGAGACCAGCACGACGTGGGAAAAAAGGTGAGTAAAAACACACATACACACACACATACCATGACAGACACACACCGTGACACAGACAGAAACACAGACACACCATGACAGACAGACACACCATGACACACACACACACCATGACAGAGACACACACATACCATGACAGACACACCTTAAAAAAGACACACACACCTTGACACACACACCATAACACAGACCTTGACACAGACACATACACGACACAGACAGACACAGAGAGATCGTGACACAGACACACACACACCGTGACACAGACACACATTACATGACAGAGACAGACACACACCATGACAAACACACACACCATGACAAACACACACACACCATGACACAGACAGACCGTGACACAGACAGACGCACACACCATGACAGTCAGAGACACACACACCATGACACAGACACACATTGCATGACACAGACAGACACACACACACCATGACACAGATGCACACACCATGACAGACAGAGACACACAGACACACACCATGACACAGACGCACACACCATGACAGACAGAGACACACAGACACACACCATGACACAGACGCACACACCATGACAGACAGAGACACACAGACACACACAATGACACAGACAGACACACCATGACACAGACAGACACACACACACCATGACACACACACACCATGACATAGACACACACACACACACATACACTCACACTGACACACACAATGTCTACCTGGGGCTGTGGGGAGCTCCCATGGCGGCCACAGGGGATGCTGGCTGTTCTGCCTCTGCTCCCCCTCCCCAGCGCACTGCTTACTGAGACCGGGGCCGGAATATGACGTCATCATCCGGCCCCGGTCTCTTTCTAGCGCGCTGGGGAGGGGGAGCAGAGGCAGAACAGCCAGCCCCCCCTGCGGCCACCAAGATAGCTCCCTCTGCGGCCGCAGGTGAGCCGGCTGTCTGCCCGGCCCCAGGTGCCGACAGCCCACCGGGAAATTTCCCAGTATCCCGGTGGGCCAGTCCGGCCCTGATAAACACTATTTATAAATACAAAGACTCATAATTCTTCAAACCAATATGCATCAGTCAAACAACACAGGATGTTATGGCATCATTTTTTTTTATACTGGCCAATCACAGTTCTCCTGGGCCTATTTAAGACATTTCTGGTATGGCTATTTGCTCTGTAGTGCTCTCTGTATACCTGAGAGCATTGGCATACACACAATCCATGGGGCCCCGGTGCAAAACTGATCCGTGCCTCCCCTCTCTCCCCCGATCCATGCTCCCCTCTCTCCCCCATTCCGTGCTCCCCCATCCCCCCTGACACATACATACATACATACAGACATACACACACAAACATACACACACACACATACATCCCTCGACAGACACACACATATTTACACACAGACACATACATACAGAGACACAGGCACACACACACACATAGACACAGACACACACATACATAGACACACACACATACATAGACACACACACATACATATGGGGCCCCATGGATTGTGTGTATGCCACACATACAGAGACACACACGTACAAACAGAGACACACACACATACATACAGAGACACACACACACATACACATACAGAGACACAGACGCATACAGAGAAACACACACACGTACACAAACTGTTTCCTACCTTGTTACTTTCCCTGGGGTCCAGTGTGGGCTCAGCCTGATGGGAGTCAGAGTTCCCACTCTGACTCCCTCCTCCTTCCTCCCATGCTCGCTATGTTTTTGAGATGGAAGCGACACGATTTGGAAATCTATTGGACATGAGGGGTGAAGGAGAGTTTGGAGTCAAAAAGAAGACCCAGGCAGTGAGCCTGCGAGGTAGAGGTGATGGTTGCGCTGTTGACTTGGAGGGAGACAGACACAGGAATTGCAACACTTGAGGGAGGAAAGACCAGAAGTTCTGTTTTGGACAGGTTGAGTTTAAGGAAGTGAGCAGCCATCCAGTTGGAAATCGCAGAGAGGCAGTCAGAGGCTCGAGTCAAGATGGGCGTAGAGATCAGGAGAGGACAGGTAGATTTGCGTGTCATCCGCATAGAAATGATAACGGAAGCCAAAGGAGCTGATGAGTTTACCAACGGAGGCAGTAGATAGAGAACAGTAGTGAGTCAAGGACAGAACCTTGAGGGACACTGACATAGGCAGAGTCAGCGAAAGAAACACTGAAAGAGCGCTGGGAGAGAGCAGGAGAGAGCAGTATCTCGTAGACCAAATTTATGGAGAATGCGAAGAAGCTGTTGATGATCAACAGTGTCATAGGCAGCAGAGAGATCAAGGAGAATTAGGACAGAGTAATGGCCGCGAGAGTTAGCAGCAATTATATCGTTGGATACTTTGGTCACAGCCGTTTTGACAGAATGACCAGCGCGGAATCCAGACTGAAGGGGGTCAAGCAGAGAGTTGGATTCGAGAAACTCAGTCATTCTGGTGTACACAACTCTCTCGAGGATCTTGGAGGCAAATTGCAGTAGCGAGATAGGGCGGTAGTTGGATGGGGAGTTGAGGTCAGGGTTGGGCTTTCTCATGTTCAATCGTTTTTGAGCAGTTTGACACAAACCGGGTTCACCCAGGTTTCTACAGGCTCACCCCTTGTTCACCATATACCTAATGATGATGTTACCCTTCCGCATTACTAAGGTCAATCTTGTCCACATTTATAAGACATTGATTGGATGAGCATGTTGGATGATATTCTCAGCCAATGAATATCATCCAAATAAAGACATAATTAGGAAAGTTTAAGGAAGTAAAAATATAACAATAAACTGAATTAGGTATCATGATAGTAAAAGATACTATTAGAAAATGAAATGGGAATCCAGTGTTGAACTGACTGCATGCAATGGTTAATGTCAATTTAAATACATTTATAGGGCTGCTGAGGTATGGCATGTACACCTGGTATAGATTTATTTTTCCAGGCAATGAGGTAGTGAGCTTAAAGGAATACTATAGGCAGTGGCATACTAAGGGGGGCGGTCTGCTCCTGGTGTCACTAATAAGGATGGTTCAGGTAACCGTCAGGAGGGGAGCGCACTGCACAGTGCTCCCCTCCTGCCACTCACTGCATCTAGCATGGCCGAGCAGGAAGACTGCGGTAGAGGAGCTTCTGTTTCCTCTACTTGGTCTGACAGGAAGTTCTCACTGAGCAACAAACTGCTTCCTGTCAGACCGTGTACAGGAAACAGAGGCTCCTCTGCGTAGACCGTCTGTTTTGCCATGGAAGAACTTGAGTCTGAGCAGGCACGGGGAGGCAAAAGAAGGGCACTAAAGGGGAGGGGGGCTAAATAAGGGCACAGAAGAGGAGGGGGCAAAAGAAAGGCACAGAAGGTAAGGAGGCTAAAGAGGGCACGGGTTGGGAGAGGACAAAAAAGGGAACAGGATGGGAGGGAGCAATAGAAGGGCACAGAAGGGGAGGGCACAAAAGAAGGGCACATGAGAGAAGGGGGCAAAATAAGGGCAAAAGAGGAGAGAGGGCAGAAGAAGGGTACAGGAGGTGGGTCACAAATAAACACACAGAGAAGCTAATGGGAAAAGACACATAGAGGGACTGGAGGGTACAGTGAGACACACAGAGGGACTGGGGGGCACAAAGAAATACACAGGGAGGCTGGGGGCACAATGAGACACACAGAAGGGCTTAAGGCACAAATAGACACACAGAGGGGCAGGGAGGACAAAGAGACACACAGAAGGACACAAAGAGATACAAAAAGGGGCTGGGGGCACTAAGAGAAACAGAAGACCCACAGAGGGGCTGGGGGGGAATACATACAGAATACATACAGTGAGACAGAAGAGACAGAAATGACTGGGGGCACAAGAGACACAGTGGAGCTCTTTTGGGGCAAGCACACACACACACACACACACAGTGGGGCTGTGGACAAACAGACACACAGAAGGTTTGGGGAAAGTGCTGCCTCTGTCGCACGTCTTACACCAGAAAACATTTCAGTAGGATTTACCTGTTTACCTGGTTATGGGAAATTTAAACCATCACTAGCAGGAAAGTGACAATGCTCCTTTAAGGTGATGAGCCTGAATGTTAAACAATAATCTCTTGATGCAATAAAGGATTCATAAAAAAAAAAATTTAAAAAAATCCATCTAGTTAAGAATTAAACTATCTATTCTAAAAGATTAAATCAAGGACAGCACTTAAGCTTCCTTTCAGTGATCATTATCAGGTCCTTCACAAGTGAACATTCTAATCAATTTAACCATTAAAATATACATTATTAAGGAAATGTGTACAATTACTGTCTAAATAGCAATCTACTCAACAAACAGATTTCACAAAGTCAGTAATTCTTTCATTCTTGTTATTCAAAAGGATATGCTTGTAACATTATATCTGGATTTTCTAGGTTAGTTAGGTTTCATTCTTGCATGCGTCTCAAAAAGGAATTATTCTATAATTTAATTTCCCAAACCACTTATGATAACGTATGATGAAATTATGGATCAGTGGAATCCTATACTGACAAACAAATACAGGTCAATTTAGTAGATGGCAAACAAATAAACAAACAAACCATGAAAGCATGATTTACACTCAGAAGTCATGATTTACACTCAGAAGTCTTTTCTGACTCAGTGTTCTAGGTGTAGCGAAAAGGGATGATTAAGTAGGGACTTGGCAAATGGTCCTTACTTTCACCCTTTATTCCTCTCCTGCTTTGAGAAGGGACCTTGTCATAAAACCTGCCCTTCGGTTGCTATGTATTTAACCCAGACTGTTATAATGATCTTGGCAGGTTGGGTCAACATTTGTTGTCAATCTCATTTCTTATCAGTGACAAACTGCTTCTCAGTTTATAAGAGGCAAGCAGTGGAAATGCTTAAAAGGAAACTCCAGTGCCAGGAAAACAATCCATTTTCCTGGCACTGCAGGTCCCCTCTCCCTCCTACCCCCCAATGCCTGGTTGCTGAAGGAGTGAAAACCCCTTCAGTAACTTACCAGAGGCAGTGACAATGTCCCACATCGCTGCTTCTTCCTCCGCGCCGCTCCTCCCTGTGATTGCGTCGACCGGTGGGCGAGACTGATCTCGCCCATTGGCCGGGGAGACCTAATTCGCATGCTTTTCAATGCTTTCCTGTGGGGAAATGAGGTCAGCTGGAGGTCCTCTAGCACAGCATATAGCATTTCTGTGCTATAACCCAGGAAGTACCCTCTAGTGGCTGTCTAGTAGACAGCCACTAGAGGTGGCGTTAACCCTGCAAGGTAATTATTGCAGTTTATAAAAAACTGCAATATTTACACTTGCAGGGTTAAGAGTAGTGGGAGTTGGCACCCAGACCACTCCAATGGGCAGAAGTGGTCTGGGTGCCTGGAGTGTCCCTTTAATGCTGGATAAAGATTTTACATAAATGGCATTTACTAGTGACTTTAAAGTAATCGGCTACACTGGCATAAACAAAAATAAAAACTCTATAAAGAAGTTGGCATTTAGTAATTATAAAAAAACCCAGAGTGAGGAAGACAGAATGCCATATAAGATTAGACAGAAAGAGGCTAAGCAAGTTATAAGAGCTTCCAAATCACACACAGAAGAGAAAATAGCACAGTCAGTAAAAAAAGGGGACAAAACATTTTTTAGATACATAAATGAGAAAAGGAAAGTAAAACAAGGATTAGTTAGATTAAAAACAAAAGAAGGAAGGTATGTAGAAGATGATAAAGGTCTAGCTGACTGCCTCAATGAATATTTTTGTTCAGCATTTACAGATGAAAATGAAGGAAAGGGACCTCAGTTAGGAAAAATGACAAATTAGTAATTTATTACATGTGAGTTTACAGAGGAAGAGGTTTTATTTCAACTGTCAAACGTAAAGTCAAATAAGTCAATGGGACCTGATGGAATACACCCAAAGTTATTAAAAGAGCTTAGTGGTGTACTAGCAAAACCATTAACAGATTTATTTAACCAATCATTGTTAACAGGAGTAGTCCCAGAAGATTGGAAGTTAGCGACTGTTGTGCCCATTCACAAGAAAGGTAGTAGGGAGGAGTCGGGCAACTATAGGCCAGTAAGCCTTACTTCAGTAGTGGGGAAAGTAATGGAAACCATGTTAAAGGATAGGATTGTTGAACATCTAAAAACACATGGATTTCAAGATTAGAGACAACATGGGTTTACTTACGGGAGATCATGCCAAACTAATCTTATAGATTTTTTTGATTGGGTAACTAAAATAATAGATCAGGGTGGTGCAGTACATTGCTTACCTAGATTGTAGTAAGGTTTTTGACACTGTTGCACATAGAAGGCTTAACAATAAATTGCAATCTTTAAGTTTGGATTCCAATATTGTTGAATGGGTAAGGCAGTGGCTGAGTGACAGGCAACAGAGGTTGTAGTCAATGGAGTATATTCAAAGCTTGGGCTTGTCACCAGTGGGGTACCTCAGGGATCTGTACGTGGACCCATTCTCTGCAATATCTTTATTAGTGATATTGCAGAAGGACTTGTTGGCAAGGTATGTCTTTTTGCTGATGATACATAGATATGTAACAGGGTTGATATTCCAGGAGGGATAAGCCAAATGGCAAATGATTTAGGTAAACTAGAAAAATGGTCAGAGTTGTGGCAACTGACATTTAATGTGGATAAGTGCAAGATAATGCATCTTGGACGTAAAAACCCAAGGCCAGAGTACAGAATATTTGATAGAGTCCTAACCTCAACATCTGAGGAAAGGGATTTACGGGCGATTATTTCTGATGACTTAAAGGTAGGCAGACAATGTAATAGAGCAGCAGGAAATGCTAGCAGAATGCTTGCTTGTATAGGGAGAGGTATTAGCAGTAGAAAGAGGGAAGTGCTCATGCCATTGTACAGAACACTGATGATACCTTACTTGGAGTATTGTACACAGTACTGGAGACCGTATCTTCAGAAGGATATTGATATCTTAGAGAGGGTTCAGAGAAGGGCTACTTAACTGGTTCATGGATTGCAGGATAAAACTTACCAGGAAAGGTTAAAGGATCTTAACATGTATAGCTTGGAGGAAAGATGAGACAGGGGGGATATGATAGAAACATTTAAATACATAAAGGGAATCAACACCGTAAAGGAGGAGACCATATTTAAAAGAAACTACCACAACAAGATGACATAGTCTTAAATTAGAGGGGCAAAGGTTTAAAAATAATATCAGGAAGTATTACTTTACTGATAGTGTAGTGGATGCATGGAATAGCCTTCCAGCTGAAGTGGTAGAGGTTAACACAGTAAAGGAGTTTAAGCATGCGTGGGATAGGTATAAGGCTATCCTAACTATAAGATAAGGCCAGGGACTAATGAAAGTATTTAGAAAATTGGGCAGACTAGATGGGCCGAATGGTTCCTATCTGCCGTCACATTCTATGTTTCTATGTTTCTAAATCTCACAGATCTTGTGCTGGTTTTCATGTGCACTAATACATCAAGGTCTTTGTGTCTGTCTTGGCCACTATTTCTTGTATTTTGCAATTTTGCTAGTCAAGTTTGGCCCCCATGGGTTTAATGTTTCCAGGCTGTTCTACAGCTACAGCTCTTACACAAGTGAAAGTGTCTGTTAGTTAAGAAATCTAGCTGTTGCTATATACAATATACTCTGTAATAATTGAAAAGAACACTTCAAGTACTGTAGTAGCAGAGGCGTACGTAGATTACATGGTACTCAGGGCGGAAAAGTATATTGGCAGCCCCCACATCACCCTACCTCTGCAGAACCCCCAACTCATTTTCGCAATCACTTTTATATCCATACATACTTACATTCGTGTAAACACACATTTATATACACACACATGGATACATACACACAGATACACACATTGATATATACACACATAAGAATGCTTTGAACTCTTACCAGGGTTACCAATGATGGAGTTTTGGAAGCTTATAAGCAGGAGCTTCCTTTAGATCTCTTGAGCTAAGTCTTGCAATGCAGGGCTAGTTCATTGACTGAGTGTGTCAGCTGATCACTCTCAGCCATAGTCGAACACCCTTTACTGAAGGTCGTAGCTCAGACAGAGTTAAAGGAAGCTTCTTGCTCTCCATCGTTAAATGTTAAGACAAAGAGCAGTGGCTCTAGTGCCTCCATAACCATAAATACGCAGCATAAAGTAGCTTTTTTTGTAATTTAACCATATTTGGGTCAGGACTGGATTATTCAGGTTAATAATTGTGAACCCTGGCCTATCTTTTAATGCTGCAGTAATTTAGTAACAAAGCACACACAGTGTTAAGTAAACTCATATCAAAAATCTACATATGAAATATTGTTAATACTCATTTACAATTAGCACTATCAAAACAGGTTGAAAAAACATATAAACGCATACAAAGACAGTAAATGCTATGGATCATATGGATAAGCATGACCTACATTCATTTTGATTGCATTGACGCTTATGCTAAAATACTAATTCATAAATAGGTCACCATACTAATCAAAGGATTAAAGACATGCTTAATTATAACTTATACTAACCAAATTAACATGTTCTATGCAACGTTGGTTTTATTAATGATAGCTGATAAATGAGGTTACCTGCACTAATTATCTGTTTATGATTGCCAACTGTATATTAAGTAATAACGCCACCCCTTGCATTTACTATTTAATAAAAGCCAGTAATTCATGGAACTGAGTTCACATCGATGTGAATTAAAACTTAAGATGTCTTGTTTATTGCTTCAAGAAAAGTTTCCTGACTTTAAGGCAGAAACAACAAAGGGAGAGTTATCCATCCATGAATACTTCGGTACTTCGTGAGTATTCCATTTCTTTAGTTCCCTATGTTACATTATGTAGAAAGAAAAGAAGGCGTATACCGCGCCTAATAATTTATATATGCAAAAAATACATACATATATCCTTGAATATTCCAATCAATCGTAGCCTCGGAAAAAAATAAAATAAAAGAATAATAGTGCAATACAGTAGATTAAATTTAAAATATAAACAATTATAGCTATGTACAGTCCACTCACATTTGAATGAGCTATAACAGAGCTCTACTGTGAAGCGCCTGGACAGTACAATCCCCGTCTTAGGATTCGTAGTAGTTGCCACGGATGTTCTCAAGGTGCAATGTGCATAGTAGATATAAGAAGCGATAGTAGCAATATGGTGAAGTAAGTACTAATAGTATATTCAATAATAAAAAGTAATGTACTTACACTTTCTAGACCATATAACTTGCTCCAGTATAAACAGCTTAGGTGGTATAATCCCCACTAAGGATATGCAGGATCCAGGAAGTAGAAAATAATAAATATAAAAAGTAACTTTAAAAAGTATACTTTAATATAATTAAAACAGTAAAGGATAAAAAAAAGTATAATAAAAAGTCCCACTTTACGCGTTTCGCCTAAACAGGCTTCTTCGGAACATTATGTAATCTATTGCCTAAACTGTGAATTCTGTTTATAACCAATATGTAAAATGTATTCTATAATAGCCAAATTGGAAAACATCACGAATGCAGGATAGGAGAGTTTTTTATAACTCTCTTATTTTTTACAGTTGACTCTCCACTTGCTGTTTAATGAACATGGGCCTCGTTTTAATATTGTTGAACACGCTTTACAAATTAATTAATATTTTTGGATAGATTTTTAAAATAATTTAACATTATGAAAAATATACTTTTGTAGTATTTAGATTTTTTTATGAGATTTTTTTTTATTTATAAGGTTTTTAATTGTTGATTTTTAATATTCAAAAATATTAAAGGGACACTAAAGTTTAATGAAGCAGTGTTTGTGCAGTGATAATGCCTCTGCAGTCTCGCTGCTAAATTGTCTGCCATGTGTTTATACAGCCCTAGGCACACACCCCTGCATCCTTCCTAAACACTTGAAAAAGAACCTCGATATTTTAGGTTTCTTCATTGCACAGTCTGTTTCATCTAGAGTTTTTTTTTTTATCTCCTGCACTGCTAAAGGCCTCTTAAACCCTGCTTGAGCCTCCTGTGTGTGATTAAAGATCAACTGACAGAGCAGAAGAAACAAATTTCTAACGCAAGTTAAGGTCTGATTGAAACTGTAACCAATTTTTTTTCCATGCAGGTTGTGTCAGTCACAATCAAAGAGATCTGGCTAGGGCTATATAATCAGAAACAAACATGATTTCACTCCTAAATGACAGGAAATTGAGCAGTGAGATTGCAGGGACATGATATACTATAATGGGAAAAATAAAGTAGAGTCTCTTTGAATTCTATGATCTTAGGTTTTATATATCAGGACATAATAACAATCATCTGTTCCTCAGCAGATTTATAATTACAACATCAGATGAACAGCAACACATGACACATTGCATGGTGTCATAATTTATCTAATAAAAACAAACCCAAAATGGAGAAGCCATGTGTGAAAAACGTGTTCTTTGAATAAAGTAGACCATCATGAATGTGTGAATGACAAAAAATAATCCAGGTAATTTAAAGGGACACTATAACACCAGAACAGTTTACAATTTAATGTAGTTGTTCTGGTGAGCATAGTCAATTCCTGCATGCTTTTTGCAGTAAACAATGTATTTTCAGAGAAAATGCAGTGTTACATTACAGCCTAGGAACACCTGTAGTGGTCACTCCTCAGGCTGCCATTAGAGGTGCTTCCTGGGCCATTGATGCAATGCATCTCTAAGAGGAGTTGCTAATTGGCCAGGTCAGCGTTTGGCTCCGCCTCTGCCTCCTCGGCTAAGATCATTAGAATTGACATTCTCAACCAATTTAATATTTCCTATTTCTAATACCCACTGGAATAAAGGTGATTGAACACCTTTCAAATCTGAGGTAAGGGGGCCAACCACCAAAAAAAGTGGTGGTTTTAGAACTATAGGGTGTGAAATACACGTTTGTGTTCCTGACATTTTAGTGCCCCTTTAATAGGTACATTGTGCTAGTGATTATGGCAGGTAATGTACATATGTATAAACATATTAATCGTATATATTTACTAAAAAAAGAAGTGAACTTAGTGGATCATGCTGCCACCACAAAGATCACTCGGTTGAGCGCTAGAAATGAATATCTTACCCTTATTGAGATAGCATATATTCCACTTAAAGGGGTATACAGAACAATATAATCTAAAATAAGAAAATACACATCATGGTGCAGTATGCTTGTAAAATCTGGATGAAGTGTAAAGAAGATGTGAGTTCACCATGTGAGTTGGATATACATCTTCTTTACACTTCATCCAGATTTTACACGCATACTGCACCATGATGTGTATTTTCTTATTTTAGATTATATTGTTCTGTGTACCCCTTTAAGTGGAATATATGCTATCTCAATAGGGGTAAGACATTCATTTCTAGCGCTCAACTGAGTGATCTTTGTGGTGGCAGCATGATCCACTAAGTTCACTTCTTTTTTTCACATATTTGTTTGTGTAGGATTGGGATACCTGCACGTGTGTGTTTAGCTGCTTTTTTATATTTGTATTATCACTAAGCGCCTATTTTGCACAGAACACTTTCTTTTTGTATATATTTACTAGACTGGTGCACAGAAAAAAAATCTGTATGTTTGAATCAAGAAAAATAGATTTTTAGACATTCCAGGGCAATTTCTACTAAAGAGATTCACAAACACTTGTTTAGTACATCTAACCAGATATGGTTTCTTTTACATCCTAGATGGGGTATACTTTTATCTCATCCTGGTGACTTCACCCCTGTATGTACTAC